GGCCATATCTGGGGCGAATCTTCTAATGATGCCCTTTTTCTTCTAGACAAGGTGCAAAAACGCATTGTAAACATAGTTAGACCTGTTCTTGCAGCCAACCTTCAACCATTATCACATTATCGTAACGTTGCTTCTGTTTCTCTTTTCTACAAATATTATAATGGGCATTGCTCTAAAGAGGTAGCATCTCTTGTGCTCCTTACTAAAATTCATTCCCATGTTACTCCTTATTTAATCAAGTCTCATCCTTTTTGTGCTCCAAAGTGCTCCAAAAACTTTTATTCGCCTAGTTTTTTTTCTCAAACATCAGTTCTTTAAAAATCGCATCCTTTATCTTGCTTTCCTGATTTATTTAACTTGCAATCTTTTAAGTCGCCAGTCAATCGTTATCTTGCTCTACAATCTTCATCTTTTCTCTTCCAGTAACTTCCAACTCTTAAAGTAGTTGCTTGCAGCCTTTTTAAAAGCAAAGATGTAAAAAAAAAAAAAAAAATTAAAATTAAAATAAAAAGATAAATTGTGATAAACTTCCTTGTAGCCCCATCCTAAAAATGAAATTAAATCATAAGTATTTAGGTATAATACAATAAACCTATTTATATTTTAGTATAATAAAGAATAATAGAATTAAAAAATAAAAATTTATAATAAATTACAACATAATAGTACATACTACATAGATAACTACAAATTCAGATATCTAGTTATTGGGCTACCTTTTTTAGAGACCCACTGGTGATAATATTTCTGCAGAACGTTATGCTTTCATGCTTTTGATGACCAAGCCATGTTTCCTCTGGAATAGTCAATCTTTTCAAAACCTTATTTGTTCAAATTAAAGTTCACCAGCGACTGTGAGCCCCATGCTGTAGCAGAAGTTTGATCCTTTTCAAGCTCAGATACCAAATTTTATCAAAAGCTTTAGAAATGGCAATACAATAGCCTTAAACACTGCACCTCTATCTAATGCACGATAAAGTCTATTGATTATTGCTGTTAGCAAATTGACTGTAGAACGAAAAGTAGTCAGGTTTCTCGAACTCTGTGGTAGCTCTCAGAGAGGGTGATTCCATCAACAGCTGAAAAAAATCAAAGTATTAACAGTACCATGTTGTGCATGGATGGTGTTCCTGTTTATACTTTTGGTGTGCATTGCTGAGGTCGCATTGGAGTCCTTTGTTGCGGCTTAGGGTTTATTAGTGGAAATAAGGCAATTGCTTGGGCTATAAAACAGTGTACTGAATACTATCTATGTTTCGAGTCAAGTTCTTTAACAAATTTAAAAATGAATAAAGTAACAAAAACTATAAAACACAAAAAACCACAGTCATCACTAAGTTCGCTAAACCTACATTCGCCAATATTCGTGGTCTTCGAAATAACTTTTCTTCTGTTGAGTCTTATCTCTTGCAAAGTTCACCAGTCCTACTTGCTCTTTGTGAGACTAATTTGAGTTCAGGTGTATCATCTTGTGATCTTAGTGTTGATCGCTATCTTTTATTTCGTAAAGACTCCAATAGTCACATGCTTGGCCTGGGCACTTGCATTCATAAGAATTCACCCATTTGTCGAAAAACTAGGTTTGAATCCACAGACTACTCTTTTATGTTCTTTCGTTTAGCACCACTTCACTCTATCGCCTTTCTCTTTGTTCTATATCGCTCTCCTTTATCTCAAGACTGCACTCTTCTTGATGTTATTTCTATTTATATTGACCAAGCCCTCATTCTTTATCCATCAGCCAATATTTTTGTTGTCGGTGACTTTGATGTTCATCACACTGAATGGTTTGGCTCTAGTGTCAGTGACTCTGCAGGTATTAAGTCCCACAACTTTTGCCTTTCTCAATCCCTAACTCAAATAGTCAACTTTTCAACTCGCTTTTCAGACAACCCGAATCATTTACCTTCTCTACTTGACTTATGTCTTGTTTCTGATCCTGGTCAGTGCTCAGTTTTTCCCCACTTACCCTTCGGTGCTTCTGATCATGGTTTGGTCTCTCTAAAACTATTATCTCATTCTTCTTTACCATCAGAATCCCCCTATCATCATACATTTTACAACTACCTTAAAGCTGACTGGGATATTTTCCGTGATTTTCTTCGTGATGGCCCCTGGGTAGAAATCTTTCGTCTTCCTGTTGACAAATGTGCTTCTTAAAAAACTTCGTGGATTCAGGCTGGCATGGAATCCTTTATTTCCTCTTGATGATTCCAGGTCAAGCCTCACTCTTCTCCATAGTTTTCCTCACATTGTGCTGCTGCAATTGCCAATCGAAACCATTACTTCCATATCTATCAGCAAAACAATTCTCCAGAAAACAGACGTCTATTTATAACTGCTAGGAACCATTGTAAAAAAGTTTTGTCTAACTCCAAAGCCCGCTATTCTTAGATCATGAAATCTCTTATTTCATCACAAAAATTAGGCTCTCGTGACTTCTGGAGAATCTTTAATAGTATCAATAATAAGGGCAAGTCTGTAATTCCACCTCTTTTGT